TTCTTCAAAATATCTTCTTTTGTGTCCAACAGAAGAAACTCATACAGGTTTGGAACAACATAAGGGTACGTAAATGATGACAGAATGTTCATTTTTGGGTGAGCTATCTCATAATAGGCCCGTTCACACCAAGGACGATAACTTTAGCGATAAAGGTAAATATGTATACTATAACTATATAAGAATAGCAGAGTCCAAACCACAGTTATAACCATAACGGCACAGAGAAACAATATCGCCGGGAACACTTTCAGAATGATTTTTTTTCCAGCTGATGAAAGATAAAAAACAATGAAAGCCATAATAAACTTCTTAGAATAAACTGAACGATTTCGTCCGTAGTTATCGTTATCGGTCTTGGTGTGAACGGGCCTTAAGAATCACTTTTTTTAATGACTTCAAACATCATTTTAGCATATATTGTCTTCATGGTTTATGATATAAAATGAAAGCACGTCTTTTGTGAAATGGCCAATAATGAGTTGAGGGGTGTCAGATGTTTTCTTTGTCAAAGAGTTTCTCTCTGGAAATAGTTGGAGATAGTTGGTGAAATTCAACATTTAATACATAATTCAAATCAAAAGTTGTATCTGATAATATTTAATGGACTTGAGCTGACATGAACTAGCAATGAACAGCTGTATTTCTATTAACTAACATGAACAAAGGTTGATAAATACTTGTATTGCTCTTCTGCCAATTAACCAACATTAATTAATAGAACCATATTGCTCAGTTACATGTAACTTATTCCCTCCATACATATATTAAAAATCAAAATCACAGTTTGACTGAAAAATGAACAAATTTAATATAGCAAAAAATTCAAAGGTAATGAGCTCAGCTGTGTTTGCAGATGGATGCTTCATATGACATAAAATACATTTTAATTTGATGATGTGTTTTTCAGCCACTCAAACATTCAGTAATGTCACATACAGAAATACAAAATGATGCTTTCATCATAGATTTAAAAATGTACATCAAGAAACGGTAAATGACAAGACATAATATAAAAATATACAAAGACAGTCATCACATGATCTCACAGTAATAACAGCAGAGAAACCGAATACTGTATCTGTCAATCCAGTGGAAACACATCATGTGGACTTTATCCAAAATACTGACCGTGTTTATTCAGAACCCCTTCTGTGAACCTTCTTCTCTAAAACCAGTCCAGTGTAGCACAACATTTGTCACAAAACACATTTTATAAAAACCTTGCTAAAGGAAATGAAGAGAAAAAAAGTGGATTCTGAAAACAAAATTCTTGATTTTTTGGGTATATTAGCAAGGCACACAGTGTATGCTTCAACCAATCGTTATATTACATAAGACACATTCCAAAACATGCCTCTATTTAAAAGGTCTTTTTGACATGCAAACTGCTATGGACTTTGTTTAAAATATCTTTCTCTTCTTTACAATCATTAATAAAATATAGCATTTTAGCTTTAGTGTTTGTGTCTCATTTTCAATGATGTCATGTTATCATAAATAGATGCTTTTCATTATACATGAGGAAGAAAAATATTAAAGATGGCCACATTTAGGTACAATAACAGTGTGTTTACACCTTTATCCACAAACCCTGACGCTGTGAAACACGATACCGCTGAATAACGGAACTGTAGTTCTCGTCAAACCATCATTCTCACTGAAACATAAGGAAAACATCTCGCATGAAAACACAGCGCAAACACACACTTATATCGTCCTCTTGGAGAGAGTCAAGAGCCTTCGTTGCGGTCTCTGAAAGCCCAAAACTCTGTCGTTGGAATTATTGCCGTATTATTCATAGTTTTCATGTAATGTTATTTTTTTACCAGGTTTGTACTAATGTACTAAGACAGTGATATTAAAAGATCTTGATTGATACTGATGATGCATTCTATATATACACTCACCGGCCACTTTATTAGGTACCCCATGCTAGTAACGGGTTGGACCCCCTTTTGCCTTCAGAACTGCCTCAATTCTTCGTGGCATAGATTCAACAAGGTGCTGGAAGCATTCCTCAGGGAGTTTGGTCCATATTGACATGATGGCATCACACAGTTGCCGCAGATTTGTCGGCTGCACATCCATGATGCGAATCTCCCGTTCCACCACATCCCAAAGATGCTCTATTGGGTTGAGATCTGGTGACTGTGGAGGCCATTTTAGTACAGTGAACTCATTGTCATGTTCAAGAAACCAATTTGAAATGATTAGAGCTTTGTGACATGGTGGAAGTAGCCATCAGAGGATGGGTACATGGTGGCCATAAAGGGATGGACATGGTCAGAAACAATGCTCAGGTAGGCCGTGGCATTTAAACGATGCCCAATTGGCACTAAGGGGCCTAAAGTGTGCCAGGAAAACATCCCCCACACCATTACACCACCACCACCAGCCTGCACAGTGGTAACAAGGCATGATGGTTCCATGTTCTCATTCTGTTTACGCCAAATTCTGACTCTAACATCTGAATGTCTCAACAGACATCGAGACTCATCAGACCAGGCAACATTTTTCCAGTCTTCAACTGTTCAATTTTGGTGAGCTCTTGCAAATTGTAGCCTCTTTTTCCTATTTGTAGTGGAGATGAGTGGTACCCGGTGGAGTCTTCTGCTGTTGTAGCCCATCCGCCTCAAGGTTGTGCGTGTTGTGGCTTCACAAATGCTTTGCTGCATACCTCGGTTGTAACGAGTGGTTATTTCAGTCACTGTTGCCCTTCTATCAGCTCGAACCAGTCTGGCCATTCTCCTCTGACCTCTGGCATCAACAAGGCATTTCCGCCCACAGAACTGCCGCTCACTGGATGTTTTTTCTTTTTCGGACCATTCTCTGTAAACCCTAGAGATGGTTGTGCGTGAAAATCCCAGTAGATTAGCAGTTTCTGAAATACTCAGACCAGCCCTTCTGGCACCAACAATCATGCCACGTTCAAAGTCACTCAAATCAACTTTCTTCCCCATTCTGATGCTCGGTTTGAACTGCAGGAGATTGTCTTGACCATGTCTACATGCCTAAATGCACTGAGTTGCCGCCATGTGATTGGCTGCTTAGAAATTAAGTGTTAACGAGCAGTTGGACAGGTGTACCTAATAAAGTGGCCGGTGAGTGTATAAGCCAACAGATGCATCACTGTAAAAAATTATATGATCAATAAGTTATGACAACATATGTTTTTACATTGCTTTAACTCATTTAAATAATTTAAGCAATTTGCAACTTTTTTTTATAAGATTCAACTCATTTTTTGGTCCCACTTTATATTAAGTGGCTTTAAGTACTATGTACTTGCATCGAAAAATAAGTACAATGTTCATGTTTTGTAAAACGCTATTGAGGTGTGATACGGGACATGGAGATATATGGAGATGTATGTATGTACGCGGGTGTATGCATGTTTATGTATGAATATATGGGTGTATAGATGATATACGTCTGAGTACGTATGTATGTATGTATGTATGTGTATATGTGCGTGGATATGTATGTGTGAATGTATACGTATACATTTCCTTCTGTTAATTTTTATTTATTTTTTTTCACTGGGGTGTACAGGAGAGGAATGGAAATAAGAGGTAAAAAGGGGTAAAAAAAAGAAATATATTGTGTCTACTCTGATATGTTAATTGTATGATCGCAATATGAAAAATGTCACACAAAAAAAAAAAAAAAAAAAAAAGATACGGGTAAGGTGTGTGTGGTGCGGGTCGGTTTAAGGCTGGCTTAAGGTGTAAAGGAGGGGTCAACAGTGTAATTACATAAATTAATTACAGCTGTAATTACATGCAGGTATTTTTAAAATATAAGTACAATGTAAAAACGTGTATGTACACAATAAGTCCATTGTATCAAATTATTCATTTCAATGTAAGTACATAGTACTTAAAGCCACTTAATATAAAGTGGGACCCATTTTTTTTTTATGTCGGTTTAATGTAATTTAAGTTGAAATGACTTAATCATTAACGCCCAGTATACCTTATTAATAAAACATACAATGTACAGACAAACAGATAAACCCAGAATATTAACACAATGCGCTAACTTGCATGTTAAGCATATTCCCATAGAAATGCGTGATGTGCAATTTAATGCATCATCAATAACGTGTATATTGACTTTGATCTTTTAAAACCGCAGTCTTATGACATTAGGACGCGTTAAGCACTTGTCCAGTTAAGTGTTTTAGATCGTCCCGCTGTGTTTAGTGAGGAAGGTGCAGTATATGGATCGCAAGTGCCCTAAACTCGCAGTTTGTTCACGTCTTTGTTTTTCTTCTGTAGAGAGATAATCTAAGTTTTAGTGGCTTGACAGATGATTGACAGGCCTGTTTTCAGTCTGAAAACTATGAATGAAACAATGATTCTATATATGGAAAGTGGTCGCAGTTTATATTTCTCAGTTGATACAAAAATGTTTGATTTTTTTTTAAATCAAGATACAGTACATTAACTTGAGAAGCTAAATGATTTTAAGTCTTGCTTTCTGAAGAAAATCATCAAAATGTATTGAGTTTGTGCTTAAAACAAGATTTTTTTTTTTTTACATTTTTACAGTCTTTTCCATGACTTTTGAGGCAAATATTCATGACCTAAAATTAGTGTAAAATACAACTTTCTGGATTTGTTTGTTTTTCCAAAACTTAGGCCTGGAAAATGCAATTTTAAAGCTTTGCCAGATTTTTCATGAGCGTCCAAACCCTGAAACAAGATTATTGTTCTTATCTCACTGACAGATTTTTTTTCTTGATTTAAGCATTAAATAACCTAATTTTGATAAGTTTTTCCGAAGAAAGTTTTGCTTCTCAAGTAACTGCAACTCTCAAGTTGGGTATTTGTAGTGGAAAACTCGTGCACATTGGCTGTAGATCTAAATGTCCCGAGCTGAAGTACAGTAGTCCTGCTTTCTTTTTGGTGGAGAATCGTCCAGGTTTTTCTCCACTCTTCCACTGAAAGCACACGAAGCTTTGCTCGACGTGCCTCGACACATAAGCCACACCTGCTGGCTCTGCCTCTCTCAGGGTTAGATGTGTGTCAGATGAGTCGTTCTTCTGGAGGCACTTTCAGCACGCTGCCCATCTCTAGCCGTGCTCCTGCGACCTCCTGTTGACTGGGGCTGTACGTTCCCTCGGACTGCCGCTTCTTCCGGGTGGTGAGAACCAGGCAAACCAATCCCAGTGTTCCCAGCAGGACAGCGAGACACGCCAGCGGGACGGCCACCAGCAGCCACGGCACGCGCTCCTTCTGCAGCTGCTTCTACAGGAGCACACGGAGGACATCTGGGATTCACTCAATGCAGGACATGTGGAGCAAATCGCGGAATCCACACACAAAAATAGAATTTAACGTAAAAACTAATTTCTGAGAAAATAAAGCATTTCTTAGGGCCCTATTATTGTAAATATTTTTTATATGATATTAAATTGTGAAACTTTTATGAATTCAATTAATTAGATATGCTGTTTGATTTTTTTTTTAACATTTTTAACTTAAAGAGTAATTACTCCAATAAAATGGAATCAAGAAAAACTAAAATAGAAAACATGGAATTTGAAAATTAAATAAATCAAAATAAATGTTTGTTAAACTTTTATTAAAGTGCTGTTAAACGGCATACGTTACTAAAATTTAATTGAACCATTAAAATGCAATACCAAAAATTGAAAACTTTTTTTGAAACTAAATAAAACTGATTTCATAGGGCCCTAATTTTTTTATTTTTGTTAAACTTTTAATAAATTGCTGTTAAATTGTATAAGTACAATGATTTCATTTAATTAGACATGCTTTTTGATTGCTAAAATTTGGAATTTGGAATTTTCGATGGTTAAATAAAAATTTTGAAAATTAAAAAAAATTGAAAACAAACGAATACAAAAATTGTTTTATTATTTTGAAGGGGGAAAAAATTATTTGCTAAAAAAATGGCCCTAAAAATTTAATTTCTGTTAAACCTTTAGAAAAAAAAAAGTGTTAAATTCATTAGACATTTAATTTAACTATTAAAATGAAATCCAGATATAAGCTAACTGAACCGAAAAATGGTCTTTGAGGAAAAAAATCTAATGAATTTTGGGGAAAAATAAAACGGATATCATAGAGCCCTAAAAGAGTAATTTTTGATCAACTTTTAATAAATTGTTGTTAAATTGTATAAGTTCCATGATTTAAATTAATTAGGCATGGTTATATTAACGAGAAAAAAAACTAATCCAGAAAAATGTAAACAGAAAAAAACAGAATTAAAAAAAAAACAGAATTTGGGGAAAATGACAAACAGATTTGGTAGGGCCCTATAGATGGATGAAACACAAGGGCCGAGCATTATCCAGCTGAGCGAACGAGAAGCCAGATCTCACCGTGTTCTCACAGTTCTCTCCGCTGACGTCCGACACACACTCACAGAGGTAGTGATTGGCTCTGTTCACACACGTGCCTCCGTTCAGACACGGGTCCGACTCACATTCATCTACATCCACTTCACATCTGGAAAACAAAACGTCCTCAGTCTAACTATAGTTTGCACATTTCCGCTTTTTTGTGCCAAGAATCTCTCAGTGTGTGTGTGTGTGTGTGTCGTCTCAGAGTATCTCACCTCCCTCCACTGAAGCCGGGTCTGCAGGTGTGTGTGTGCGTATGTGTGTGTGTGTGTGTGTGTGTGTCGTCTCAGATGATCTCACCTCTCTCCACTGAAGCCGGGTCTGCAGGTGTGTGTGCGCGTGTGTGTGTGTGTGTGTGTGTGTGTGTGTGTGTGTGTGTGTGTGTGTGTGTGTGTGTGTCGTCTCAGATGATCTCACCTCTCTCCACTGAAGCCAGGTCTGCAGGTACAGTTCCTTCCCCAGAATCCCTCAGTGCAAACTCCACCATTCTCACAGTCTGAATCCACATCACACTGACGCCATCTGAGGACACACACTGAATTATCAATGACCAATAAAATAAATAATGACATAATGTGAAAATACAACAAGGCTTTATAGATATTAAAGGGATAAACACAAATTAAGATATTTTTTATTAAATCTAAGAGCTGGAAGCCTATGGAGGAGTGATCCAGCTCTCAGATTTAATCAATCCATCCGAAGATGAACGAAAGTCTTACGGGGTTGAACAACATGAGGGAGAGTCATTACTGACAGAGTTTTCATTTTTGAAACTCAATCAGACCAGGCTCCTTTTCTTTGAAGATTTGTGCCTTATCTGGGAACTAATTGATCCATATTCAAAGCAAACTTGAAGTTTCTCCAGCAGTGTTAATAATAAAGTAATGCGTTTGACTCTTCAAACCTCGCTAACAGGGTTATTATTCAAGTCGCTGTTCAGATTTAAATAGGCAAAAGCTTAAGAGTCTATGTTCGGATCATTATTGCAGTGATTATTGTTTATATTTTGGTTCTTCTACTGTAAGCCTAATTAATGGAGTGTGTATCATTTCATTTCTTAAACGCCCATGTATGAAGACACATCATGGTCATATATTCCATGATGATAATGTCAAGATTCATCAGGCTCAGATTTTGAGGAGCATGAAGAATCATTTCCACAGATGAATCGGCTCCTGAGTCCAGAGCTTGAACTCACTGAGAGTGTTTGGGATGTGCTGGAGGAGACTTTAGTGAATCAATACTTTTTCAAAAAAGAATCGCTACTTTTTCGCAAGTGAATCGCTACTTTTTCATAAATTAATCAATTCTTTTTCAAAAATGAATCGCTACTTTTTCAAAAGTGAATCGATACTTTTTCAAAAATTAATCACTACTTTTTCAAAAATGAATCGCTACTTTTTCAAAAGTGAATCGCTACTTTTTCAAAAATGAATCGCTACTTTTTTTTTAAAGTGAATCGCTACTTTTTCGAAAGTGAATCAATACTTTTTTCAAAATGAATGGCTACTTTTTTTTTTAAAGTGAATCGCTACTTTTTCGAAAGTGAATCAATACTTTTTTCAAAATGAATGGCTACATTTTTCAAAAAGAATCGCTACTTTTTTCAAAATGAATCGCTACTTTTTTCAAAATGAATCAATACTTTCAAAAATGAATCGATACTTTTTTTAAAAGAATTGCTACTTTTTTTAAAATGAATCGCTACTTTTTCAAAAGTGAATCGATACTTTTTCAAAAAGAATCACTACTTTAAAAAAAATGAATCGCTACTTTTTAAAAAAGAATCGATGCTTTTTTTCAAAAAGAATCGCCACTTTTTTCAAAAAGAATCGCTACTTTTTCAAAAAGAATCGCTACTTTTTCAAAAAGAATCGCTACTTTTTTACTTCAGAAGTAAACAGTGTAGCTGACTTAATGTTTAGCTGACAGAATGTTTATTTTTAAACCACAACTTCAATGTGTGCTTCTTTTACAGATATATTTAACGATATCTTTTGCATTTCTAATCCAAACAATGTCAAACTCGGCACTGCACTTACTCGTGCCCGCAGCAAGACACCCGTCAAGTTTGAAATCCATCGGACTAACGGTTCGAGAGATACTCGATTAACAGACAGACAGACGTTCCTGTAATTTATAGATAGACATTTCACAATATTACTGTTTGAACTGTATCTTTCTATCAAATAAATGCAGCCTTGGTGAGCAGAAGAGTCTTCTCTCAATATATATATATAAGCATCAGCCAAGTGTCAAGCTAAACAAGTAAGCATTCAAAGATCAGGGGCCGGTTGCATAAACCTCTAAGACTAGTCTTACAAGTTAGACTTCAGTTTATTTTATTTAAGACTGTTCATAGCTTTTTACATTTACATTTATTCATTTAGCCAAAGCGACTTACAAATGAGAACAATAGAAGCAGTTAAACTAACAGTAGGACAACAATATGCAAGTGCTGTGACCCTTCCCAGTTTAGTCTAACGCAGTACATGTACAATTTTATTTATTTATTATATAAATAGAAGAGAAAGTGTTAGTTTTTTTTAAATCAGTTACATAAAAGAAACATAGATTGGCCTAATTTGATTCCGAAAAGGAAGATTGACTGCCCCAGACTAACTGCTACTGGGTCATGCTAGAACTTACGAAACTGTGTTAACATAATGGCTACGTTTCTGCAACCGGCCCCTGGCCCCATAATCTGCAGATATCACTCACTGGCAGGACGGGCCTGTGTGAGCAGGTGGACAGACGCAGGTGTGTCCCGCGACTGTATACACACACGAGCCTCCGTTCTCACAGCGATGCTCCTCCTGGCACCCGTCCACCTCCTCCTGGCAGTTCTTCCCAGCGTATCCATCAGGACACTCGCACACATAGTCCCCGGGCAGATCCCGGCACACGCCGACAACACAGGGCAGTTGGACACACTCGTCCACGTTCTCCTGGCAGCGTTCGCCCGTCCATCCCGGGACACACGTGCAGGCGAAGAGATTGAAGAGATCCGTGCAGGAGCCGTTGTTCAGGCAAGGCTCGGGAACACACACGTTGGAGCCGGAGCATCCCAGCTGAGGCTCTGCCGTCCCGCCGACTCGGATGAACTGGGACGTTTGCGGCGCCTCGTCCTCCAGGCGTCCGGAAAACGGTAAATAAACCCCACCGATCCGCACCTCCCCCAAACAGCCGGTGTAGTTCTCCGCCAGCCACACGGTGGAGAAGTTGAAGAAGTCCGAGCTGCCAGACGCCGCCAGACTGGATCCCGACATCCGACCATCCACGACCAGGGTCCAACGGGACGCCGAGTTCCTCGAGATGGACGTGTAGAGCAACACCTGATGCCACTCTCCGTCCGAAACAGGGATGTCGCTGGTGAAAGCGTGCACATCCAGACTGTTCCCCTCACGAAACTTCACGATCAGCGAGGAGTTCAGAAGCCCCACGCAGAAGAACTCCAGCCGGTCCGAGGCGCGCAACAGTGTCCCGTTCTCCTCACGCGTCCGCAGATCCATGGAGATCCGCATCACCGGGAACAACAGGGAGCCGTTGGCACTGAACTTCAGAGCATTGCTCTCGAACGTGGCGTTGGCTAAACCTGGAGTGAGGAGGAGTGTGTTAACACAGGGATTCACTAACGTTTTCTGTCATTTACTTGACGTACACTGGAAATGTCAATCACTGAACAACACATTTGCATGGTCATCATGGTTCTCTGATGTTGGTCATGGTGCGCAAGTAAACAGATCTTTTTTTAGCTAGTGTTTTATTTTAATTGTTTATATTTTTAAAGGATTAGTTCAAATTTCCTGATAATTTACTCACCCCAATGCCATCCAAGATGTTCATGTCTTTCTTTCTTCAGTGGAAAAGAAATTAAGTTTTTTGAGGAAAACATTTCAGGATTTATCACAATCACTTCAATTGCAACCAACATGTTGAAGTCCAAATCAATGCAGTTTCAAAGGGCTTTGAAGTGCTTCAAACGGCTCTGCACGATCCCAGCTGAGGAATAGGGTCTTATCTAGCGCATCGATCGGCCATTTAAAAAAAATGTATATGCTTTTTAAACACAATTGTTCGTCTTGTGCTGGTCTGCGACGCGCCAGGGATTACGTCATCACGTTGTAAACGTCACGATTTTTATTTTTTTTTAATAATAATAATAAATTAAAACAAAGATGTCAGACGATTTTGAAGTTGGAGGAGAAAACGGGAGAAAATGAGATGGAATTTTTCGCCCTTCCCTGCCTTTTTTAACCGGAGTACACAGACAAATAACTTAGACAGATGACGTGGTGCATGACGTTTTCAATTTGGACTTCAACATGTTGGTTCCTGTTGAAGTCCATTGTGTGGAGAAAAATCCTGAAATGTTTTCCTCAAAAAATTTAATTTCTTTTCCACTGAAGAAAGAAAGACATGAACATCTTGGATGGCATTGGGGTGAGTAAATTATCAGGAAATTTTCATTTTGAGGTGAACTAATCCTTTAAATTATTTTTTATATAGGGCTACATGACTGCCAAAAAATGTAATTGTGATTATTTTGTCATATTGCAACTTAGACTGTTACCATTTTTATTATTACTAGTTATAACTCTAATTATAAAAAATGACAGATATATATCACTGTTGTATATTACAATAAACTATGACTATTCAATAAAAAATGTATGTGATAATATAAAAAAATATATTTTACACTACAAGTTAAAATTCTACATGACTGCCAAAAAATTTCATTTGAACTTTTAATGTTTTATTATTATTATTATTAGTTTTAACTCTAATTATAAAAAATGAGAGAAAATATTACAGTTGTAAATTAAAAAAACTGACTATTCAATAAAAATTAACTTAATATTAAAATGTGTATTTTACACTAAAAGTTTAAATATTACATGATAGCCAGTAAATTATTATTTTGTCATATATTTCAATTTGACCTGTTAATGTTGTTTTTATTATTATTATTATTATTACTATTATTATTATAACAAAAAAATGACAGAAAAATATAACTTATAAATTATAATAAACTATGAAAATTCAATAAAAAATGTATGTGATAATATGAATATTTTTATTTTATTTATATTATCTCAATATGTTAATATTCTTTGACGCAATACTTTTCAAATCATAAGGATTTTATTTTGACAGAATACTGGTGAAATTATGTAATATTTTATTTTATTAAGTAGCAAAAATAAACTATAACGACTCTGTTCCGGTTCAAATTGAATCCGATTGGATTTAAATCAATGAACCAAAAATTACAAAATGAAAAACAAAAACAAAACTGTATTTATTTACATTCTTTTTTATTTTATAAATTCTTTTTTATTAATTTTTTTTTGTTTTAATTCAGTGCTTTCCTGAAGTTCTAACATTAGAGCACTGCACTAGAAACGCCAAGATCACGGGTTCGGTTCGAGGAAAAAACTACTGAACTGGAAAAAATGTACACCTTCAAAGTGTCTGCAAAATGCATAACTATTGAGAAACATAACAAAATACATTAATTTTTATTATTATTACTATTTTTATTTTGGGTCTGTGCATTTAACCACTAAATTTATGGGTCAAGTTCAAGAAGATTTTAAGAAAAACATCCGATGTTAACCAGATTTTCCAACAAACTCACAAAATGCACCTGAAACATAATATATAAGGGTTAAATGTTTCTTTTTTTCATATGAATGTTTTTTTTTTTCATATTTTCTATTTTTTTCTATTGTTTAGTTGTCTGTTTTCTTGAGTACCTAGAAACAAGAAAAAAAAAAAAAGACTAAAACAGGGACCAATGAAGCTCAGTCATTGATACTCACACTCATAACCATCAGGCAGATCCACACACCGCGTCCCGGAGTCGCACGGGTCACTCACACACCACACACGCGTGTCACACGTCTTCCCGGAGTAGTTCAGCGGACAGAAGCACACAAAGTCATTCCAGATGATCGCGCATTTCCCTCCGTTCTGACAGGGCTTCATCTGCAAACACAACGTGTGAGAGTTCAACATCTGAGAAGTGTTCAACACTCAGCAGAAGCTAGTACAGGAGAAAAGATGTGTGTTTGAAAGAGTCTCTTCTGCTCACCAAGGCTGCATTTATTTGATCAAAAATACAGAAAAAGTGAAATATTACCATTTTAAAAAGTCGTTTTCTTTGTGAATATATTGTAAAGTGTAATTTATTCCTGTGATCAAAGCTGAATTTTCAGCATCATTACTCCAGTCTTCAGTGTCACATGATCCTTCAGAAATCATTATAATATGATAATTTGCTGCTCAATAAACATTTATTATTATTATTAATGTTGAAAACATACTTTTGAGGAAACTGTGATACATTATGTTTCCCGTCTTCTTTGATGAATAGAATGTTCATAAGAACAGCATTTATTATGTTGGTTTGACAAATGTTTAACATTATTATTGGCTTGACATTACTGTTAGCAATGTGATAAAACATGCTAGCAACATGGTAAGTCATGCAGGGGTGGCCTTGCTTATGTTTCACCCGTTTCAATTGAAACAGGCCCCGCCCTCCAACAGCCCATTCATTTTCTCCGTAGGATATTGATTTTCAGCCATAATGTCTAAACCATTCAAGGTAGATTGACCACGAGCTACGAGGTTGTGAAACGAAAGTTTCGGCTCCTATAAAAGCCACAAGCTACGAAATCAACCTTGTTATTTGCGAAACACTGACGTCTCTGATTGGTGGAACTCGCGGTTACCATGGCGACGTTTACCACCCCCGCGAACGGCTTAAGCGATCTGAAGAATAATATCGGTAGTTTATGTATTTACACCTTTGCCTTTTTTTGCCATTAGGTTAAAATGTTATTTTAAGGAGAAAAAGAATTTTAAGAGGAAATGAAACTGAAAAACGAGAGATATCGGACAACAAAAGAAAAGCTTTATTCAGTCTACCAAAAGTGAAGTTACCCTGCGTGAAAGGGCGAGGCTTATTCCAATGTAAAACGCTTTATAATTGTATAGTTTTAATCAAATAAGGTTGGATTATTTCTATGTTGAGCTGCCTGTTCATGAAGCTGAAAGTGCACGTAATAAAATAATATACCATTGATGCAAACCAACAGGAATCCTTGCTTTTTCTGCTCTATTATGTTGATGTTTTATGAAGGGCCCCATATTAGTTATTGAAACGGGCCCTCAGATGCTTAAGGCCGCCACTGAATTCATGTTAACAATGTGTTAAAACATGTAACCAACATGCTAATTTATGCTACTAAAATGCTAAATCATGCTAGCAACGTGTTAACCATGCTAACAACATGCTAATTCATGTTGTAAATCTGCCAAAACATGCTAATTCATGTTAGCAACCTTTTAAAACATGTTAGCAACATGCCAATTCATGCTAGCAATCTGCTAAAACATTCTAATTCATGTTAACATGTGTGAAAACATGTTAACAACATGTTAATTAATGCTAGAAATGTGCTAAAACATGCTAGCAATATGTTAATTAATGATAGCAATGTGTTAAAACATGTTAGCAATATGCTAATTCATGTTAGCAATGTCCTAAAACATGCTAGCAATGTGCTAATTCATGCTAGCAATCTGCTAATGTCAGGCCGCCACTGAATTCATGTTAACAATGTGTTAAAACATGTAACCAACATGCTAATTTATACTACTAAAATGCTAAATCATGCTAGGAACGTGTTAACCAATGCTAACAACATGCTAATTCATGTTGTCAATGTGCCAAAACATGCGAATTCATGTTAGCAACCTGTTAAATATGTTAGCAACATGCTAATTCATGCTAGCAATCTGCTAAAACATTCTAATTCATGTTAACATGTGTGAAAACATGTTAATTAATGCTATAAATGTGCTAAAACATGCTAGCAATATGCTAATTAATGATAGCAATGTGTTAAAACATGTTAGCAATATGCTAATTCATGTTAGCAATGTCCTAAAACATGCTAACAATGTGCTAATTCATGCTACCAATGTGTTAAAACATGTTAATTCATGCTAGCAGTGTTTTTCTCTGCACTAAATCTAAAGCTTATAAAACATAGAATCTTTTTAGAATCTTTACTGTCACTTTTGATTACTTTAATGCATCCTTGATGAATAAAAGTATTAATTTCACTATTAATATTAATAGTGTCTCACCTTACACGTCTGGTCACCCACACACCCCTCCAGCACATTAGATGAGTTTCTCGGTAAGTAGCTTGAATGCTGTGGTTTCTGGCTGATGCTCCCCGAGTACATGAACAGTTGTGTGTCGTCTATCCGGACGTCCTGCAAACAACCCTTGAAATATCCGCCCCACTGTATAGTGTTTTCTCCTTCGGGAAGCCCACCTAGATACGCCACATCTCCCGCCTCCACCTCAAAGTCAACGTGACTGGCAGAAATCTGCTGCGTTTCATTAAACACTATAACACCTTGTTGTTTTTTAATAGCCACAAAGACCTTCTCCCCATCGGTCAGGAATCTGGAGGCCTTTATGATGGAGTTGTATATCGCAATATATACTGAGCCATTCTTCAGGAAAAGAGTGAAGTAAGCCTGATTGTGATGCTGGAGCTGGAGGAGCAGGCCGTCTGAATGCCGGGATCTCAGCCACAGCGACACGCTCAGGTTTGAGTCGTGCGTCTGCATGATGGGGAACGCAGCGAAGCTTCTGTTGCGCTCGTGACTGAACGTCCATGAAGAGTGCTCTGTTGGGGAAAACGCTTCACAGGTTTAGTGAAAGCATCCAGAACATACGAGAGCGAATCTCAAGAAAATATGTACACCTCAGAAATAAGAACACAAGAATTTATAATAGTTGATAAGGCCTACTTTAGGAGAATTAAGATTTGTTTAACTTGTGAAAATATGACATGAAACACAGTCAAATTATCATTACCATGTGTTTGTACAGTAGTGTTTTGGTCATTCTCATTCTTGTTTGTTTTTGTACTATTTCAATCCTTTTATTGTTTTTTAGGTGTGAGATATTAAGATCTGTCCAGGGACAGATTCTGGCACACTATACATTTATTTACAATTGGTCCCTGTTAAATAAACCTGAAATAAAAAATAAAAATAAATGATGTTCAAGGATTCGCAAACTTTTTTTTGTCAGCCTCTGATTTAAAATATTTACTATTTTAAGTTAATATTTTAATAATTGAACAACATATTTGCATGTTCATAGTTCTGTGATATTGCTTAATGGTCACAGGACATGCAGGTAAAACAAAAAACAAATTTTTTTTAATCAATATGATATTTCTATGATTTAGTAAATAATTAGTTTTTGCTCAACTTACAAACAACCTGTAGTTTCCTGCTTTCTTCACAAAATCCAGTTATGGAAACAGTGTTTATTTGAAATATTTAGGAACATTATAAATGTATTTACGGTCAATTTTAAACATATTTGGTGAATACATTTCTATTTTTACTTTTAAAATCTTACTAACACCAAATTTTTGAATGGTAATGTATAATGGTTTCCACACAAAAAATGAAGCACAACTGTTTTCAACATTGATAATAATCATAAATGTTTCTTGAACAGAAAATCATCATATTAGAATGATTTCTGAAGGATCATGTGACACTGAAGACTGGACTAAAATTCAGCTTTGATCACAGGTATAAATGTTTTTTTTTATTATAATAATATTTCACAATATTACTGTTTTTACTGTATTTGTCATCAAATAAATGCAGCCTTGGTGAGCAAAATACTTTTATTCAGCAAAGATGCGTTAAATACTGTTCTTTTGAACTTTCTATTCATCAAATAACCCTGAAAAAAAAATGTTTTCAACACTGATAATAATAATGTTTCTTGAGGAGCAAATCAGCGTATTAGAATGATATCATGTAAAAAAAAAAAAAAAAAAAAAAAAACTTTTGAGGGGTAGTGTATAATGTTACGAAAGATTTCTAGTTATTTTAAATTGTAAAAAATATTTCACAATACTGTTTTTGCTGTATTTTGAAACAAATAAATAAACCCTTGCTTTAGTGAACAAAAGAGACTTCTTTCACAAAAAAAATTCTTCTTAAATTCTTACCGATCTAAAAACGTCTAAACAGTAGCGTGTGTGTGTGTATTTATTATTATTATTTTTTTATTAAATAGAGGCATCAAATAAAGGCCTGTTCACACCGCGCCGACGTTTAACGCCTCGTGACTAAACAAAAGGCGCCAATGTGAGTGTGCACACCGACGCGTAAAACGCCACGCGTAAAAAAGCGTCATTTTTTTTCAAACGCCTCGGGTTCGTTTTTTTGGTTTGACGCGCCGCGTCAAAAACTATCCGACCAATGAGATTGGCGCTTTTGCTCACGTGTCTGGAGCTTCTGAAGTTACAGTAAAACACAACTTGGTGGCGCTCAAACACAAAACGGTCTTGCCGAGCACACATACGTAACGGCGAAGAAGATATACGCCAAGTAGCGTCTACACCATAGATATCCGTAATAAAGGCTAGATGTCTCGTCCGCGCTGCTGGCCAATGGCCTTTATTATGGATATCTATGGTCTACACTGCCGGGAAGAAATAAGACGAGGAAGATGCGAGGCAAGATGAATGTAGAGCTGCTGCTGGTCTCGTTGGTGTCGGAACATAAAGAACTATATGATAAACGCGACTACAAAATAGGACTATTTCTGTTTTACATTAAGCGCCATCTAATGGCAGGGAATGAATTGGCATGTTCACTCGGCTCATCATCAGCGAAAATCGCTTGGGTGTGAACACAAAAAACGCGTTGAAAAACGCTGGCGAATAACGCGCGCCGATATTCGTCCTGGTGTGTACGAGCCTTAAGGCGTAATTAAGGCTTACCATACTTACAAATAAAAGTCATATCATTGACAGTGACACATAATTTAATAATTCATTATGGCAAGCTGTTATAATAAGTCAGCTCACCTTCTGAACAGTTGTGTCCATGAAACGGCGTGTGGCACTGGCACATGTAGTCGCTCCACAGATCCACACAGTGTCCTCGCTGGGAGCAGGGATCGGGACGGCACCGCTCGCGTCTCTCACAGCCCATCTGCACATACTGAGAGCTGAGGCTTCTGGGTAAAACCAGCTGAGCATCTACACGCAGATCCTCTACACACCCGACGAATCCCGTCCCGGCCGCCGTGTTGTTGAGCAACTCCTGAGGAACGCCTCCGATGTGTGTTTTCTCCAACCCCTTCGGCTGGAAGGACAGAAGCTGGTTGTGTCCTCCATCCTCAGCGCTCTTGTTCTCTGATATCAGGGTCAGAGCGAGTCTCTCATCCACACTAACAGAGACTTCATGCCAGAGGCCGTCACTGAAGCCCCCGGGTAACGTCACAGCAAGCCTTAAATCTCCAGATTCGGCTCTGGAGAGAAGATTCCCACCACTCAGCTCCAGTGTAAAAAAGTGCTCTTGGCTTCCCCGGTAGAGGAGTATTGCGTCTGGTAACGTCGTCCTGAACCTCATCTGGACACTCGGCGCTTGTGATCCCGCATGCCGGCGACTCCTGTTCCCGTGTGAAACCTCCAGGAGCGCATAACCTCCACCCGTCATGGAGAAGGTGGTGGAGGTTTCGCATCGCTCCCCATGATAGCCAGGAGGGCATGTGCAGGTGTGTGTGTGCTTGTCTCCATGCAGTGATGGCCAGCAGGTGGCGCTGTTTAGGCAGGGGTCGTTCACACACCCGGTCAATGCCACGTCACAGTCCCGGCCGCCCCAGGGCATCTGGTCCCGCGCAGGACGAGGACAGTAACACATGTAGTCATTAATGCCATCCTCACAGCGGGCACCGTTCCGACACGGCTCGCTCTCACACTCATCCACGTTAGTCTCACACACCACACCTGCAGGGGAACGAACACACACACACACACACTCACACAGGTCATGTGAGGCTTGAGGCATTCGAACTGCTGTTCTACAAAACTGTTAGTCTTATTCAGAAGCTTTTTATATGCAACACTAGGACTGCACGATTTGGGGGAAATCTAGACATCAAATTACAGTTTTTCTGATCAAAATTAGGATTTAAAAATGAACATCCTGGTTTGCTTTGTTTGCTCACAATTCGGCAACAGTTTTGTGATTATGCATCAATATGACTATAGAAAAGAAATGTTAATAATAATAATAATAATAATAATAATAATGCATTAAATATACAATAATACTAAAGAAAAAATAAGAATTATCACTATTGTTAAAAACATTAAGTATTTATGTAATATAAAATATAAATATAATATAGAAAGATAATGTTTTATTTTTATTGATAATATAATAATAATACTATAATATTACTATTGTAATATTTCACTATAATATAAAAATTGGGTATTTAATTAATACAATATAAAAACAAATATAATATAAAAATATAATAATACATTTTATTATTGCTGTTGTTGTTGATATAATGATAACAATAATATAATAATAAATAAAATAAACAATAATACTACATAAAAAATAGGAAAAAAAGAAATATTACTATTGTAAAAAATAAAGTATTTAAATAATATCATATAAAAATATAGATAATATAAAAAGATAATAATAATACATTTTATTATTATTATTATTATTGTGGATCATAGAATAATAATAATAATAATAGCAATACTATAAAAATGAATACTATTACTATTGTAATAATTCACTGTAAAATGAAATATATATTCAAGCAATATAATATAACAATTTACTAAGTTTTATTTTTATTATTATTATCATTGTTGTTGATAATAATATTACATAAAATATACAATAATACTAAATATAAAAAATATTACTTTTGTAATATTTCGTTGTAAAATGTACTAATATTATGGCTAACACTTTTTGAAATACGCAACACATATTTATTTAATTAAATGTATAATTGCAATAAGCCATATCATGATTCCAGTTTTATTGTGATGAATTGCGCAGCTTATGCAACACCCTTTTCATGTGAGGATTTTAGCGATCCGTGACTAAGAAAGTGATTGGTTATAATAAAACGAATTATATCAAACAAATGAAGAAAACATAAGACTTCATTTGAGTGAAAGCCAACAAACCAAAAAAAATGCAACTGACAATGTAAATCATAAGCAGAAACTTATGAAGCAACTGCAACCTTAATCAATGCTAACACACAGTGAGATAAAAACAAATACATTGACTTTTAATTGCATTTACTTTAAGCCTTTTAGTAATGTAATCCTGGTAAAAGGATTGGCATGCCAGCATATGGTGAACGGTTGCTTCTACTTAACTGAAGTTTATTTAGTGTGTTCTAGTAAACTGTTAACTACTAATACTGCACCTGTAAATATGACCAAACTACACCAGCACTAGAGAGGTCAGTGATTGAGCAACCATGCCAGTTATAATCAGTGTCATGCAAACTGTACAGAGTTCTAGTAGTTGCTTGTAATACATTTTGCAAATAAGATTACTGATAAGCTGCTTGGAAACCATGTGTATTGTGAAAAGCACTATACAAATGAAACTGACTTGATGACTCAATTCTAGCACATGTTATGCAGAATGCAAAAAGTTGCACTAAATTTATCATGCATATATATATATGAGGAAAAAACAAGTTAACCAACCATGTTAGCAGCAATACCACAATACTACATTTCAAGAGTAAACTAGAGCGGACATGTACAGTATCTTTTACAGTAGTTTTCCAGTACACATATCTAAATTCTTAAATCAAGATGCATTTACTTGAGATGCAATACAATCAAATAATAGTCTTGTTTTCAGAGAAATTTAATGCAAAGGCAAAATAAGTTTATTTTTCTGACCCCACTCGCAGAAATATCTTAAATCTCAAATAAAGATATGCAAAATAACATAAAATAAGAGTCTTGTTTTTTGGAGAAATTCTTCTAAAGAAAAATGCACTTAATTCAGAGGAAAAACAAGTTTATTTTTCTGACCCCATTTAAAAAAAAAAATTATTTAAACAAACTCACTTATTTATGATACATATTTTTCCGAAAACAAGACTTCTTATCATGTGTCATATTTGCACTGCAATACATAACAACAATACTGAGTGAGATAATCACTTGTTGCGGTGAACAGGAAGTGTCTTTATTTGTGCTTTTCAATTAATAACTATGTGCCTAAAAATCAGTTTATGTATGATATTCACCATAAATATAATTTCAAAGTATACGGTCGCAGTCGCTCGTGGAGAATCCCGGAAATGGTCGAGCAATACGAGATATTCTCCATTGATTTTAGCCAATAAAATACTCTATTGCAGCATTCAGACACGATTATCTTCATCTTTATTAGAGTTTATTTGAGGCCGCTTCTGTGGCGTTATTTTAATGATAATTGTCAAGAGCGTGTCCAAATAACGCACGAGCACAAGTCTCATCTCGCAGGCGGATTTCCAATATGTCTCATGGCTCTTCTGCTCTCGCTCAGATATAATGTGTGCGCGCTCAAAATCAAACTCAAAACTTACTCTTTCTCTGTGGTCTTCTCTCCTGGATTTAAAGGGTTAGTTCACCCAAAAATCAAACTCTCCCTCATGACGTTCCAAGCCCGTCAGACCTCCGTTCATCTTCGGAACACAGTTTAAGATATTTTAGATTTAGTCCGAGAGCTTTCTGTCCCTCCATTGTAAATGTATGTACGGTATACTGTCCTTGTCCAGAAAGGAAATAAAGACATCATCAAAGTAGTCCATGTGACATCAGTGGGTTAGTTAGAGTGTGTTGAAGCATCGAAAATACATTTTGGTCCAAAAATAACAAAAACTAGGACTTTATTCAGCATTGTATTGTCTTCCGGTTCTGTTGTGGATCCGCGTTCAGTGCCGCTGCTGACGTAAGACGCTGCTGACGTGTGTCTGGTGTGTGTGTGTGTGTGTGCAGGGGCGGACTGGCCATCTGTGTGATCTGGAGTATCACAGAACGGCCGGTACTCCAGGACGGCCGGCGGGCCGGCCCACCACCCGCCACACACCCAGTCATAACCTGTTTCCCCCCCCCCCACTAAAATATTTCACACTCCAGTAGTGTAGGTGGCAGCAATGCACCTTTAAGTTGGATGCCAGCGCGGATCATTATCAGCTCGGCCCAAAAAAACTGCGATCGCGGCCGAAGCAGCTGTGCGGACTGATCTCGATCACGCGAACATTTTTACTCAGAGTTGCGCGATCCACTGAGAAGCATTTCAATTCTGTGCAGAATTCTCTATCTCTATTATAAACCCACAGATGTGATTTAAGCTAGTTAAAAGCCAGATTAAACAGCGCTGATATTCTCAACATCTTGACGCAAAAAAACAGGTGAAACATTGTTCCAAGAACAAACCAGTTAGAAGACATTTCACTCCACAACTTATGAATTAACTGTAACTTAGTAAAACAAATTTTTTGGCAGAAATGTGCCTGTATTCATATTAAAAATGCTGTTATATTAATAGTCATGTAGGCCTATAAATGTAGGCTATTAAATGTAATGCAGTAATGTTTTTGTTTAGAAGTTATGGCAGTTTATTTATTTATTTTGCATTAAATATTTATACTAAATGTTTATGCTACAATAGGTTTTTAGAGAATAATATATATATATATTACAAATTTTTCAGGAATTGTTGAACCAGAATATCAAGATATTTTATTATTTCGCATATGATGGTGAAAAGTAAAAAAGTTAAAGTTAAAAGTAAAGGTAAGGTAAAAAAACACCACCATGTTATATGTATAATAAATATTTTTGAGTATAGCCCTTCTAGATTATTTTATCCCTTTAGCCCTCGCACACAAAAAGGTTGGAGACCCCTGGTATATAGTAACTATATGTTTTATAATTACAAGTTTGTGTAATTAGGGTTTCTGTAGCCAGTGACATTTCATTATTTGTATTTTATTTTCAATGCAGATATAATGGCATTGTACATTTTGTTGTTTTTTATTTGAAGACTGAGGCTTCATTAATAAACAAAACCCCAATTGTCATCATTGTTTTTAAGATATTACTTGCTGTGAATACCTTGTCTGATATAGGTTACAGTATTGTGGCATAGTATCAGGACATCCTAGTGGCTAGGGGCGAATGGCTGGATGATTTGGGAGAAAGTCCAGGGCTGTTTTTTAGCCCCAGTCCGTCCCTGTGTGTGTGTGTGTGTGTGTGTTCCGGTTCTGTTGTGGATCCGCGTTCAGTGCCGCCGCTGACGTAAGACGCTGCTGACGTGTCTCTGGTGTGTGTGTGTGTGTGTGTGTGTGTATTCTGGTTCTGTTGTGGATCCGCGTTCAGTGCCGCTGCTGACGTAAGACGCTGCTGACGTGTGTCTGGTGTGTGTGTGTGTGTGTGTGTGTGACGTAAGACGCTGCTGACGTGTGTCTGGTGTGTGTGTGTGTGTGTGTGTGTGTGTGTGTGTGTGTGTGTGTGTGACGTAAGACGCTGCTGACGTGTGTCTGGTGTGTGTGTGTGTGTGTGTGTGTGTGTGTGTGTGACGTAAGACGCTGCTGACGTGTGTCTGGTGCGCCCGAGCTTCGTCTACAGTCTGAGGGAGACGCACGCTGGAAACAAAACAATCTTCACAAACATGTCTAAGGATTTCCACACAGAGGAAGACTTGCATTTTTTGCCCAGCCATATTTATTTGAACCCGAATACACACACACACACACACACACACCAGACACACGTCAGCAGCGTCTTACGTCAGCGGCGGCACTGAACGCGGATCCACAACAGAACCAGAATACACACACACACACGTCAGCAGCGTCTTACGTCACACACACACACACACACACACACACACACACACACACCAGACACACGTCAGCAGCGTCTTACGTCAGCAGCGGCACTGAACGCGGATCCACAACAGAACCAGAATACACACACACACACACACACACACACACACACCAGACACACGTCAGCAGCGTCACTGAACGCGGATCCACAACAGAAGCAGAATACACACACACACACACACACACACCAGACACACGTCAGCAGCGTCTTACGGCAGCAGCGGCACTGAACGCGGATCCACAACAGAACCAGAATACACACACACACACACACACCAGACACACGTCAGCAGCGTCTTACGTCAGCGGCGGCACTGAACGCGGATCACCAACAGAACCAGAATACACACACACACACACACACCAGACACACGTCAGCAGCGTCTTACGGCAGCAGCGGCACTGAACGCGGATCCACAACAGAACCGGAATACACACACACACACACACACACCAGACACACGTCAGCAGCGTCTTACGTCAGTGGCGGCACTGAACGCGGATCCACAACAGAACCAGAATACACACACACACACACACACCAGACACACGTCAGCAGCGTCTTACGTCAGCGGCGGCACTGAACGCGGATCACCAACAGAACCAGAATACACACACACACACACACACCAGACACACGTCAGCAGCGTCTTACGGCAGCAGCGGCACTGAACGCGGATCCACAACAGAACCGGAATACACACACACACACACACACACCAGACACACGTCAGCAGCGTCTTACGTCAGTGGCGGCACTGAACGCGGATCCACAACAGAACCAGAATACACACACACACACACACACCAGACACACGTCAGCAGCGTCTTACGTCAGTGGCGGCACTGAACGCGGATCCACAACAGAACCGGAAGACAATACAATGCTGAATAAAGTCCTAGTTTTTGTTATTTTTGGACCAAAATGTATTTTCGATGCTTCAACACACTCTAACTAACCCACTGATGTCACATGGACTACTTTGAACTGTTTTCGTATACCGCAGCAGCAAAGTTGAGGCATGCTGCCAAAATGACTATTAAGTCTTTATCTCTGCAATGCCTTGCCATTTTGACACCAAACTTTGCATGTGCCATAGTCACCCCACTCTGACCACATTATATCGATTTCGTAACTGCACCACCTATTGGTCGAAAGTGATAATCCATTAAATCATCTTAAAAGTTACTGTATATTTGATTTTTTAGCCATTTGCCCAAAATTCATCTTCAAATGTCTTTAATTGCTCCTTGCTGCCATTGGTCTGCCACTCGCACCCATGATGGCATCTGTTGCCGCTTCTTGCGCTTGGCCCCGGTAATGGCTGCTTGCAGCTATATTTTTTGTTATTTTTGGAGCAAAATGTATTTTCGATGCTTCAACACACTCTAACTAACCCACTGATGTCACATGGACTACTTTGATGATGTCTTTATTCCCTTTCTGGACAAGGACAGTATACCGTACATACATTTACAATGGAGGGACAGAAAGCTCTCGGACTAAATCTAAAATATCTTAAACTGTGTTCTGAAGATGAACGGAGGTCGTACGGGCTTGGGACGACATGAGGGCGAGTTATTAATGACATCATTTTCATTTTTGGGTGAACTAACCCTTTTAAGCTTTCAACCACATGACTTTCACGATTGCCTGACGAAATAACTGTAGGCCTACCTTTAAATTGTAAGGAAATTACGGATTCGCCTTTAGCTATATATATTATATGGAGTGTGGGCACTGGGCACCCACCGGCAGAAACATAAATCGGCGCCTATCCACATGACTTCCAGAACGCTCCGACACTTTACCTGTCAGGAGGAGCATCCCACTGCAAAAGAGTTTCACTATCAGTCCTCTCATCCTGCAAGCGTCCCGGCGGAGGCACTCTCCTCAAGACTAAAGACTCAAGTGATTTACAATGCAATCTCTTCCTACTTCTCTCGGTGCTCCTGTCTTTCCAGCTTCTTTGTATTTTCCAGTTTTGCACAAGCGCACTCCCACAGTGGATGGAGCTCTCGGTGCCGAGCGTCCCGGAGCGAGTGCGAGGGATGAGGGATAATAATCCACAGATTCCCTCCCTTCCCAGCTGGCTCCTGTCTGCTGACATCAGGAATGCTTATGCCAACTCATTACTGGAGATGTGGGTTGAGTCTGTGTCCGTGAGGGAAGCTTTCAGGCCTCAGACCTACACGACTTTCAAACGCTATACGCATTATATACAGCACTGGCCAGAATTGACGCACAAGCTATCAGGACTGAATTTTCTCTGGGAAATGAGACTACTGAAATCCGCCATCTTGAAGTTATAAGTCCAAGCTGTGGGTGTTTTCAGGATCATCTGTCTTAATCCGCTCTCCTGTAAGCGTCTCACCTCACTTCACACGAACACACTATTACAACAGGGTTTGTTTTCTGAAAGTTGGAGCCTGTCTATGATTTCATGCACAGATTCAGACTGTATCGGTGATTAAGACTGAGGTGGGAGTTTACACAGAGCTCTTCAGTTTCACTCCTACATTTATTAGAGTAAATAATGTTTTTTGAATATCTAGTACCACTTCATTTGTTAAAGTGAATTTTGGGGTGAACTATCCTATTGATTTGAAAAGCAGACATGTTTTAAAGCCCCCCTGTGGTGAAAATCCAGCTTTTAATGTTGTTTATGTGTCTATGTGGTGTTTTTAATGTGCTTTAAGACGAACCATGTGTAAGTTCATAAGTCGACAGCATTGCTGAGTATTTTCTCCTTAAAACGGCAGTGAACCAAAGACAGTCTCAAACACACGGTTTGAAATCGCTGGTGTTTCTGACGTCACAAACGACCTTGTAACCAATCAGATCAACATGTGATCGTCAACCAGTGGATCTCTGAGCTGAGTGAGTGAGTGGAGGCGGGGCTCATTTGCATATTCATAGAACCGCGCATACTAAATGAGGCAAGGGTGTCGGGTTACATTCAAGCTATTTTAAGGCATGAGTTTTTTTTCAAGGAAATTTTAGTTTTAAGTGATACAATTATTGACTACAGGGGGACTTTAAGTGTAAAGACATTTGTTATCTTCAGTCATTTTGCTTCTCAAGTAAATGTGTCTTGATTTAAGGATGTTTAGATATTTGTCCTGGAAAACAAGAGAAAAATACTGAGGTGGAAAATCTTTTTTTGCACTGTAGCTGTACGAGCAAGTCAGAAAAGCCACTCATACGGAGATGGCTACTTGATGCAATAGTCAAAATGCACTAGTTTGAAAATCATGCATTATTGTAAAAGCGTTTTGAGGTCATTTGAGGTGAAAAAATAATCGGTAACCTGCACCCCATTGTGCAAAAAGAAAATGTATTTGATGTTTTAATGGCACTAGTGTTCATTTCAGCTGGAAACTGCAGGGTATTGTGTGTATAGGAACAGTTTTTTTAAAAGCCTAATTTTTGAGCCTATGTTGTGCATTTAGCAATTGGATATATTTGCATTATTTGGACTGTTTTACAGATAAGGATCGGGGTTATACGGAGCAGACGTACACACCTGTGAATCCCGGCGGACACCGGCACTTAAATGCATTGACGAGATCTTCACAGGTTCCTCCGTTCTCACACGGTGCCGACTCACATTCGTTGATGTTCACTGAACAGTTTTCACCTGAGAAACAGAGAAGCTGCGGTCACTGATGCGGTTTAATGCTGTGTGAGCAGCGGTCAGCGGGGTTTCTCACCAGTGAACCCAGCGAGACAGTGGCACAGGTATCCAGACGCGCGCTCGAAGCTGAAGTCCTGGTCCAGTTCAGGAAAAACCCTGTAGTGTCTCGAGTCGGACCGCTGGAAACATTCACCACCGTTTACACACGGCCTCGCGTCACACTCGTCCACGTCAACCTCACAGTTCTCGCCTTCATAGCCTGAAATAAAGAACAGAAGAGACTCGAGGAGAACTGACTTTACACTCATATTTTCAATTAGCTTTTAGTTGATATTTTAGTAGTGTTGTCAAGTTTGTAAATATATACAATTGTGTGAGATGCGATTAATTGCAATTCATTGATTTGACAGCACTAATTTTTAGTGTTCATGCTAAGTTTAGTTTCATTTTTTTAATTTTTTTTATTGCTATTTAGGTTTAATTTATTTTTATTTAAATTTTATTTATTTATTTATTTCCAGTTGATAATTTTAGTGCTTCAACTTCAAAATATTTCAGTTTATTGACAAACATTTTTATTTTTTGTTTAGTTTAAGTTGTCCAACTAATATTGATAGGCCTATTTTGTTTTATTTCAGCTTTATTTCACAGAAATGTTTAACAGAAATGTTTTTAATAGATTTAGTTAAGGAAAATAACCCCATTTCATAATTCCACTAAAAATCACCAGCTGATTAAAAGACAATTACGAGCAAAAAATTATTGTTATTAAATAAGGGAAGTTAGTAAATAGAAAAGATATCAAAAAAATATATTGCAATAGGCTATAAATACAGTCAAAATACTTAGTTTCATACAGTTTTTGCAGCTCAGGGATTTTATACTGAACTAAAACTGAAACTAAAACCATAAAAAAATTAACTTTTCATTACTTGAAATAAACAAACACACACACACACACACATAGAGAGAGAATAATACACAACAAAAGTTACAAAACTTTAACAGTACATTAAATATAAACATATAAAATAAAAACGGATTCAAAATATGAATTAAAACTATAGTATCTCAATGGTCCTAAAATAACACTGGCTGCAGCATTAACACATCTCATGTGTTTACAGTAAAGCTAGTCGTGATTTAGCAGATGCGTTTATCCAAAGCGACTTTCACGCTTGGATCAGCCAGAGGTTAAGAGCAATGGTGACAGTTCACAGATCAACGCTTCCCAGATCTTTAACCTCTAAGCCCTATTAAGCAGCATTTATAAAAGCATACGTGCTTCTGCTTCATTGGTGAGGGGAAATGTAGCTGTTAATAAGTTTAAAGAACGATTAAAAAGTTGGGTGAGGTTAAAAGCTCCGTGGAGAAGATTATGACTTGAACAGATGGACACTGACACAAAAGACTTTACCCTATTTTTATGGAATATAAGTCAATAATCTGAATCCACTACAATTTGTTTGTTTACTTATATTGCTTTTTTCCTGAATACTATTAAATGTAAAGGATTTGTTGTGGAGTGAGGAAATAAAACACAAGTTTATAGAGTTTATAAGGATTTTAAACCAGTATTTTATATAATTTTTAAATGTATAAAATGTAAAATAATATTATATTTAATGTAAAATAAAATGTGACTTATCTGTTTATTATAATATAATATAATAGTGTAAAATAAATTAATAAAATGTGACTTATCGCTTTTCTTTTCTGTCAACAATCCAATTTTGACATGATGCGACTTTTATGGACAATACATAAAACCATTCCTTTCATATACTGTATACACACAATACACTCACCAGACACTTTATTAGGTCACCTGTTCAACTGCTCGTTAACACAAATATCTAATCAACCAATCGTATGGCAGCAACTCAATGCATTGAGGCATGTAGACATAAGACAACACACCAAACCTGGAAGCAGAAGAGCATCTCTGAACACACAACACACCAAACCTTGAAGCAGAAGAGCATCTCTGAACACACAACACACCAAACCTTGAGGCAGAAGAGCATCTCTGAACACTCAACACACCAAACCTGGAAGCAGAAGAGCATCTCTGAACACTCAACACACCAAACCTGGAAGCAGAAAAGCATCTCTGAACACACAACACACCAAACCTTGAAGCAGAAGAGCATCTCTGAACACACAACACACCAAACCTGGAAGCAGAAGAGCATCTCTGAACACTCAACACACCAAACCTTGAAGCAGAAGAGCATCTCTGAACACACAACACACCAAACCTTGAAGCAGAAGAGCATCTCTGAACACTCAACACACCAAACCTGGAAGCAGAAGAGCATCTCTGAACACTCAACACACCAAACCTGGAAGCAGAAAAGCATCTCTGAACACACCAAACCTGGAAGCAGAAGAGCATCTCTAAACACTCAACACACCAAACCTTGAAGCAGAAGAGCACCTCTGAACACACAACACACCAAACCTGGAAGCAGAAGAGCATCTCTAAACACTCAACACACCAAACCTTGAAGCAGAAGAGCATCTCTGAACACACAACACACCAAACCTTGAAGCAGAAGAGCATCTCTGAACACACAACACACCAAACCTTGAAGCAGAAGAGCATCTCTGAACACACAACACACCAAACCTTGAAGCAGAAGAGCATCTCTGAACACACAACACACCAAACCTTGAAGCAGAAGAGCATCTCTGAACACACAACACACCAAACCTTGAAGCAGAAGAGCATCTCTGAGCACACAACACACCAAACCTGGAAGCAGAAGAGCATCTCTGAACACACAACACACCAAACCTTGAAGCAAAAGAGCATCTCTGAACACTCAACACACCAAACCTGGAAGCAGAAAAGCATCTCTGAACACACCAAACCTGGAAGCAGAAGAGCATCTCTGAACACACAACACACCAAACCTGGAAGCAGAAAAGCATCTCTGAACACACAACACACCAAACCTGGAAGCAGAAGAGCATCTCTGAACACACAACACACCAAACCTTGAAGCAGAAGAGCATCTCTGAACACTCAACACACCAAACCTTGAAGCAGAAGAGCACCTCTGAACACACAACACACCAAACCTGGAAGCAGAAGAGCATCTCTGAACACTCAACACACCAAACCTGGAAACAGAAGAGCATCTCTGAACACACAACACACCAAACCTTGAAGCAGAAGAGCATCTCTGAACACACAACACACCAAACCTTGAAGCAGAAAAGCATCTCTGAACACAACACACCAAACCTTGAAGCAGAAGAGCACCTCTGAACACTCAACACACCAAACCTGGAAGCAGAAGAGCATCTCTGAACACACAACACACCAAACCTTGAAGCAGAAGAGCACCTCTGAACACTCAACACACCAAACCTTGAAGCAGAAGAGCATCTCTGAACACACAACACACCAAACCTGGAAGCAGAAGAGCATCTCTGAACACACAACACACCAAACCTTGAAGCAGAAGAGCATCTCTGAACACACAACACACCAAACCTTGAAGCAGAAGAGCATCTCTGAACACACAACACACCAAACCTGGAAGCAGAAGAGCATCTCTGAACACTCAACACACCAAACCTCGAAGCAGAAGAGCATCTCTGAACACACAACACACCAAACCTTGAAGCAGAAGAGCACCTCTGAACACACAACACACCAAACCTTGAAGCAGAAGAGCACCTCTGAACACACAACACACCAAACCTGGAAGCAGAAGAGCATCTCTGAACACTCAACACACCAAACCTGGAAACAGAAGAGCATCTCTGAACACACAACACACCAAACCTTGAAGCAGAAGAGCATCTCTGAACACACAACACACCAAACCTTGAAGCAGAAAAGCATCTCTGAACACAACACACCAAACCTTGAAGCAGAAGAGCACCTCTGAACACTCAACACACCAAACCTGGAAGCAGAAGAGCATCTCTGAACACACAACACACCAAACCTTGAAGCAGAAGAGCACCTCTGAACACTCAACACACCAAACCTTGAAGCAGAAGAGCATCTCTGAACACACAACACACCAAACCTGGAAGCAGAAGAGCATCTCTGAACACACAACACACCAAACCTTGAAGCAGAAGAGCATCTCTGAACACACAACACACCAAACCTTGAAGCAGAAGAGCATCTCTGAACACACAACACACCAAACCTGGAAGCAGAAGAGCATCTCTGAACACTCAACACACCAAACCTCGAAGCAGAAGAGCATCTCTGAACACACAACACACCAAACCTTGAAGCAGAAGAGCACCTCTGAACACACAACACACCAAACCTTGAAGCAGAAGAGCACCTCTGAACACTCAACACACCAAACCTTGAAGCAGAAGAGCATCTCTGAACACACAACACACCAAACCTGGAAGCAGAAGAGCATCTCTGAACACACAACACACCAAACCTTGAAGCAGAAGAGCATCTCTGAACACACAACACACCAAACCTTGAAGCAGAAGAGCATCTCTGAACACACAACACACCAAACCTGGAAGCAGAAGAGCATCTCTGAACACAACACACCAAACCTGGAAGCAGAAGAGCATCTCTGAACACACAACACACCGAACCTTGAAGCAGAAGAGCATCTCTGAACACAACACACCAAACCTGGAAGCAGAAGAGCATCTCTGAACACACAACACACCAAACCTTGAAGCAGAAGAGCATCTCTGAACACACAACACACCAAACCTTGAAGCAGAAGATTATCTCTGAACACAACACACCAAACCTGGAAGCAGAAGAGCATCTCTGAACACACAACACACCAAACCTGGAAGCAGAAGAGCATCTCTGAACACACAACACACCAATCCTTGAAGCAGAAGAGCATCTCTGAACACACAACACACCAAACCTTGAAGCAGAAGAGCATCTCTGAACACTCAACACACCAAACCTTGAAGCAGAAGAGCATCTCTGAACACACAACACACCAAACCTTGAAGCAGAAGAGCATCTCTGAACACACAACACACCAAACCTGGAAGCAGAAGAGCATCTCTGAACACACAACACACCAAACCTTGAAGCAGAAGAGCATCTCTGAACACACACAACACACCAAACCTTGAAGCAGAAGAGCATCTCTGAACACACACAACACATCAAACCTTGAAGCAGAAGAGCATCTCTGAACACTCAACACACCAAACCTTGAAGGAGAAGAGCATCTCTGAACACTCAACACACCAAACCTTGAAGGAGAAGAGCATCTCTGAACACTCAACACA